CCCGCGAGGATGCAAAAGGGTGTGTCATTGATCCCTGGGATGGCTGCGGCTGCTGCTCTCTGTAAATAGCCCACAGTCGTGGCACTTCGGAAGCCTGGTCACCAGGAAACAGTGCCCCACGCTGACATGTCCGGGATTGGTGGCTCGGGCGCATGCAGGGATAAAAAGAACATCGTGTGAGTCATGCTGCACCGCACGCCATCTGGGCTTGCGGCACAGTCTAGCGCACAGGCATTGAAACATCTCTAGCCTTGCTTCGTGGCCGTTACATGCAGCCGTCTTTCACTTCTTAGAGCAGGAGTAGACAGAGCGCATTGGTTAAACAAGGTTGTGGTGATACTGTCGATCTACAAACAGCGAATAGCAGGACGGCTGTCGGCTCCGTCGCCGCGCGTCACCTGACCGGCGCCGTCCCATTTCAGACTGTCCCCCTCTACCGAACGACCCCCCGACTTGGCAAGTGCAGGGCGAGCTGCGCCCCCCAGCGGCGTCGGCGGCAGCCCAAGCCTGCGAGCGTGCGAACGACCGCGCCGAGTGTATATAACGCGCAATAATCCTGCGTGCGCGGCCCCGGCCGGACGGTTTGCGTTGGAGTCCAGTCTCACAACTAGCGACGGCCACACGGCGCGTGTGAAAACAGCTGCGGGATTGTTCTAGTCGAGTTTAGATAGCCGTGAGAGAAGGTCCGGCGGCCGCCGCCGCCTCCCGCTGGACTGCACCCCGGGGGCGGCGGCGGCGGCGGCCGGCCGGGGCCCACGCCGCCGCTGTCTCTGACTGTCTCCCGTCCTTCCGATGCAGCGGCGCGCCTGGTGACTGACGACCGGAAGGAGCGCGCGCGACCGTGCAGTGCGTGGGCTGAACGATGAATGGTGGAGAGACGTGTCGGCATTTGGAGACTGGACAATATAATGTCTTTTGATGTGGCGGCTTTCTCGGCTGGGTGTCAAGCGACATTCTGTTGCGGGCTGGCTGGTTAACTGCCTCCGGGTCTCACATATGCGAGAGGACACAAAGACACAGGAAAATGTTTTTAAAAGCAAGTGTTATTTCCCGAGAATGATTTGAGGTCTTGTGGTGTCTACACGAGGCAAGGGAGCTGGCATTTGCATATTTTGTCTTTATACGACATCAAATAAGGTATTAGCATCTTAGCAAATTTAAACAGCTAAATTAAGAGCATTTATTTGCGTCCGTCTGTCGATCTGTTTGCACATATCCTTCGCCCAGACTACAGCACAGACGGCTGCACGGATCACCATGAATTTGCACGCAAGGGATTGAAGTGTTGTGACGATCCACGACCGAAGCTCAGGCCCGTCCGTTACCGATGTATGTTACAGCGCGCGCAAGAGTGGGGCGTGGTTTGGCATATAGTACGAAGACAGTTTTCTGTATGTAAGAGAGACTATGAAAATCATACGACATTCTGAGTGCGAGGAGCGGTGTCGCAAGAGCAGGGACGTACACGCAGGATTCCATCTTGGGATGGAATGGGGTGTAGCTTGAAGTTTGTCCGTGAAGTTGGCGATGTGGACAGCCTTTACTTAACGACGAGTGTTCCGATCTCACTGAAAATGCGCCAAGTGGTCAATGATGGCGCGGGAACATCAAAGGTGACGTCTATTTTACATACGTCACCAGGGTCAAATTCAAGATCAACGCATGGCGAAATCTGTGTCGCCGAGAAGTTACAGCCCGAATTTTTATTTCTTAAGGATCAGAATATCTTACGGCGCACGAAGTAGCGTTCATCAAAAGTTTTGACTCTCGAAAGTCTGCCTTCAAGATCATATTCAGATCAAAGAGCGGTGAGGAACTCTAGATCACTCAAAATTTTTAGGTGATTTTCAAATATCAAGCACCATCCGGCACTTGGAGCGGATGGTCAAGGGCCCCGATCGGAGAGTCTGAAGTGCACCTCCATGGCGCCAGGGCGCAAACTGGCTCGCGTATCGAAGGATGGCAGATGCTAGGGAGCCCGAGATGGGACGGAATATCCTTTAGCTCTGACAGAAGGCATTTTACCCTGTGTAATCTTGAAGTTGATTCTCTGAACAGAATTTAAATGTCACAGTGACACGAGAGCGAGAGAATTACGTCACCGCGCCACGACCTCGTGATGCTGTACGTGACAGCTCCGTCCGAGTATAAATCGCCGGTAATACCGGCGTAAAGGTTTCAATAATTGGCACAGGGGTCCAGTTCAGATTAGTGGGTCGCTGGCTGAAGTGGGCTTCTTCGATGGCCTCATTGTAGCCCCTTCAATGTGCACTTCTCACTCTTCATTGCCAGCGCGCCCCGACAGCGCAAGATGCTCTGAGACGTGACATTCCGGGTGCCGTCCCCATCCCAATTAGCGAGTGTGTCCCTGGCCGATTCGCGGTCGCTCGTCGACCGCAGGTAGACACAAGGGTCTACTCTGCGTTAGTAGACACTTATATGCCCCTGGCCGGCACAGGACACACAGGTATAGGCCGGCACTTGTTTAGTCCGATATTGACCAGGATCCACAGCGGCACACCGTTGACCGGAGGGGCAGGTTTGACCCCCCCCCCCCCCCACCTCCCGCTTATTTCAAGCACGGCAGTCCAAACTCAGAAATTTGAATGTTTTTATAGCACTGTGGCGTGCGGTTTCAGATCACACAACAAAGTTAAGTTTAGGTATGCATTAAGCTTACAGGTCAAGGTCAAATTCTTAAAGTATTAGTTTGAAATATCTGAAGGCTCCGCAACGCATCCCATTTAGAAGTGTATCTCATCGTGTGAAACAATTGCGCTCTGATCAAACATGCTACATAGCAAGGTATCCGGTCGTACGCACGCCCTACCAGGTCTAGAGCCGAGGTCACGTGCAGTGCAAATGAGAGTAGGAACCTTGGTATATATGTTATTTTGGTCGCTCTATTTCCGTCATATTTCAGCCATGCAAACGCGAAGTTTAAGAGCTTAGTCGCAATCACGGGCATCAGACATGTGAGCAAGAGCTGTTACTGTTCATAAACCGTCTAAGGTCAAGGTCAAATGGATAACATCGGTGGAAAATAAGCGGTGGGGCTGATATTCGCCTGTTTTCGACGGTTTAGTGCTGCCGACAGCGCCACCTGATACCCTTCAACTCCGCCTTCAGTCACTTGATCGTCTGTTTGCGTGAAATAATAAACGGCTTCTGCCGCCCCGTCACCGCGCCGCTGCGAACCGAGCCACCGCCGCCGCC